ATGGGTTTGGAACAGGTTTAATGTTCCTAAAAATTCTTTTATCTCCTGGCTTGCTGCTCAGAGGAGGCTTAAGACCAGAGATAGGCTGATCTTTTGGGTGTAATCCCGATACTAGTTTCCTTCTGTGTGGTGATGATACTAAGTCCCATGAGCACCTCTTTTTCAATTGTCCCTATAGTAGACAGTGCCTCAAGATAGTTGTTGCTTGGTTAGGCATAAATGAGAGGAATTTTAGTTTGGATGGCTCTTGGAAGCATTGGAATAGGCAAGGGTGTGATTTGATCAAAATGAGATTTTTCTTAGCTGTTTTTGCTGCCTATGTTTATCACATATGGTTTGCCAGGAACCATGCTTATTGGGAAAAAGCTGTGATTATCCCCCTAAAATTATGTAAGGCAATTTGTGTGGAGGTGACTTGTCGATTACAGCAATTGATTGATGGGTCTTGGTCTAGAAATCAATGTAAATGGTTATACCTCTTAAAATGCAGTGTGCCTTGCTGAAAGCTTGGTTGTTTTTGGTTTGTGTTCTAGAGCCTCTTCAGCTTTGTTTCATGCCCCTGATTCTGTCTTTTATAGCTGCTGGGATGAGCTGCTGTTTTTCTATCTCTTTTTCTGTCTTTTTTGTGCTGCTACAAGCTGTGTGCTGCTGTGATCTATGCTAGGCAGAGTTCTTGTTTGGTTGTGGCTGTCTCTGTGCCTGCTCAGAGTTTCTGGGTTTCCTGCCTGCTGTGTAGCTGCTCTGTGCCTCTGAGCTTGGTTTATGATGTAGTGCTTCTGTGCTGTTGTCTTTGACTGGTGCAGATTTGTGTTTCTGTGTCCTTGAGACTGTTCTTCTGTGATTCAGTGTGCTGTGCTGCAGTTTGCGTTTAGTCTGGCCAGTCTTCAGCTGCTGATCTGATTGTTGCTTTGCTCTGATGCTGTGTTCTGTGTGCTAGGTCTTATGGGCTGTTCTTGTGAAGCTTCCTGTCCAGCCGGTGCTGTCTGCTAGCTGTTCTCCAGGGACCTGCTGGCACTTTCTGACCTGTGTGGGCTGCTAGTTAGTTGCAGTGTAGCAGTGGTGGGGTTTTTGGTGTCGCTTTTTTGGTGGGCAACTGTTCGTTTTTTTTGGTTTTGTGTTGTGTTTTACTTGTTGTGTATAGATGCTGTTTTGGCATCCTGTTTGTTTAGGATTGCTGTTTTTTTGTGTTTTTATGTTCGTAAGTTTTAGCTTTGTGTTTGGTTTTGTCCCGGTCCCTGTTTAAAGTACCCTTCCTAGAAGGTGCCTTTTTTTTAGTCCGGGTTTTGGATTTTTTTTCCCCCTCTCTGGTTTAGGCACCCTTCCTAGAAGGTGGTCTGTTTCAGTTTGGGGTTGATCTAGGTGTGTGGTTGCCTTCGGGCTGGTGTAGTTTGGAGTTACAACTTGGTTTGTAAGTTGTTTTCTGGTTTCCTATGGTAATAAAATCTTTCTTATTTACCAAAAAAAAAATAATCAAATGAAAGTCAAACACATTCTAACAAAGCTATTTGAATCAAATGATAATCAAATGCAATTTACAAAGCTTATTGAATCAAATGAAAGTTAACCACATTTAATCAAAGCTAATTGAATCAAATAAAAGTTAAACACATTCAAACAATACTAATTGATTCAAATGAAAGTCAAACACATTCAAACAAAGCTATTTGAATCAAATGAAAGTCAAATGCATTCTACAAACCGAATTAAATCAAATGAAAGTCAAACACATTCAAAGATTGCTAATTAAATCAAATGAAAGTCAAACATATTCAAACAAAGCTATTCGAATCAAATTAAAGTCAATTGCATTCAAACAAAACTAATTGAATCAAATAAAAGTCAAACACATTCAAACAAAGCGTTTTTCAATCAAATGAAAGTCAAATGCATTCAACAATGCTAATCAATTGATAGTAAAACACATTCAAACAAAGCTATTTGAATCAAATCAAAGTCAAATGCATTCTACAAAGCTAATTGAATCAAATGAAAGTCAAACACATTCAAACAAAGCTATTGGAATCAAATGAAAGTCAAACGCATTCTACAAAGCTAATTAAATCAAATAAAAGTCAAACACATTCTTACAAAGCTATATAAATCAAATGAAAGTTAAATACATTCAAAAAAACCTATTTGAATCAAATGAAAGTCAAATCCATTGAACAAAGCTAATTGAATCAAATGAAAGTCAAATGCATTCAACAAAGCTAATTGAATCAAATGAAAATCAAACACATTTAAAAAAAAAGCTAATTGAAACAAATGAAAGTTAAATATATTCAAACATTGCTAATTAAAAAAAATGAAAGTCAAACACATTCAAACAAAGCTATTTGAATCAGATGAAAGTCAAATGCATTCAACAAAGCTGATTGAATCAAATGAAAATCAAGCACATTGGAACAAAGCTAATTGAATCAAAATGGAAGACAAACACATACAAACAAAGCTAATTGAATCAAATGAAAGTCAAACACATTCAAACAAAGTTTTTTTGTATCAAATGAAATTCAAATGCATTCAACAATGCTAAGATAATCAAATGAAATTCAAACACATTCAAACAAAGCTTTTTTAATCAAATGAAAGATAAATGTATTCAACAAAGCTAAACGAATTAAATGAAAATCAAACACATTCAAATAAAGCTATTGGAATCAAATGAAAGTCAAATGCATTATAGAAAGCTAATTGAATCAAATAAAAGTCAAACACATTCAAACAAAGCTATAAATCAAATGAAAGTCAAATACATTCAAATAAAGCTATTTATATCAAATGAAAGTCAAATCCATTCAACAAAGCTAATTGAATTTAATGAAAGTCAAATTCATTCAATAAAGCTAATTGAATCAAATGAAAGTGAATCAAATGAAAGTTGAAAATCTAGAGAGAGAAAATCTTTTTTGCCGCCATTTTTTACATTGAAAGCTTGTGCTTGGGCCATGGCCAACCGTAAGAAAGGGAAAGCGAAGAAGAATATTGGCTCTAAATCTTCCTCTAAAGCTAAAAAGAAGCAGAGATATAAGCTTAGGTCTTGCATGAAACTGATTGAGGAAAAGGAAGTGAGCTCTGATATGTGTTCGGTGGGAAGCTGGTTGGATGGAGCTGTTATTGATGAAATCCCCATTAAAGAAATCTCTGAAGAATTTAAAGATGATCATCGATTTGATTTCAATCAATGGTTATAGGTAATTGACTCTTCCCCTTTAAGGGTTAATAACTCTGTTTCTTGGTTAGAGTCAAATTCGATTAATCCATCTCCTTTGATGATGATTGCTGGTTCGAATAAGTCAATTTGTGATAATGTTGATCTGGATAATATTTCTAACCCCAATTTAAATTTTGAGGGTATATCGACCCCTAAATAGATTTCCCCCAATTCTTCCCCGGTTTTGAATAATCAATTTGGGAATGGTAAAAATCGTGGGGTGGTTTGTTTAAGAATCTGGTTGATAAGGGGATTAATCTTGAAGATGTGAACAATGATAATAGGCCTTCTAATGGGGATGGTATGCTCCGATTGCTGAAAGAGGATGTTCAATCTGAGATAGATTTCTGGGAATTTGTAGTAGTTTGTTATGTCCTATGCTCTCAGCCCCCCTATTCTGTTTTGAATGGATTCTTGAGAAGGGTTTGGGAGAAGTTTGGCATTTGTAGGGTAGCTACGTGTGACAATGGTGTGTTCTTGGTTTGGTTTCAAACAAGGGAGGCTAGAGAACAGGCTGGTCCCATTATGTTTGATAGGAAACTTGTAATTACTAAGAGATGGCATGCTGATCTAAAGATTAGAGAGGAGAAGGTTTTTGATGTTCCTGTCTGAGTAAGGCTGCCTAATTTGGATTTGAAATTCTGGGATAAAGAGGCTTTAATGAAAATTGCAGGTTTGATTGGCAAACTAATCAAGACTGACAAGGTTACATCCACCAAGGAAAGGATTGCCTATGCCAGGATAATGGTGGAAGTAGCTTTTAATGGTTCTCTTCCTGAGTTTGTTGAATTCTTAGATGAAGAAGGGATCAGAGTTAAGCAAGAGGTTCAGTTTGAATGGAAGATAGTTGTTTGTCAGGTATGTAAGGGTATGGGACATGTGGAATAGGACTGTCCAAACTTGTTTACTAGAGCCAGGAAGACTCAATCTAGACATCAGAAACAGGATGTGAGGCAGAAGATTTGGAGGCCTGTCCAGACATCTATGTAGGATACTGGGTGGAATCCTATGCAGAATAATGAACAAAAGTCTGCCCAAAGAATTGTTCAAGAACACAGAAACATGGTGAAATACTGAGAAACTCAAAATTTGGTAATACTGTGCACTTAAATAATAGATTTTCTGGGTTGCAGGAAGCAGATCAGGAGGAGGATAGGGTAGGCCCTACGGGGTCAGGACAGGCTTTGTTTCAAGAGGAGATGATTGATGTGAGGGATGGGGAGGTGATGTATGGAAGGTGGGAGAGGGGTGAGTGCTCTTATAATGTCAATGGATAAGTGGGGTTTCTGGAATGTGAGGGGTCTTAATCATCCTAGTAAAATCTGTGATGTTCTCTGGTTTCTGAAGCAACATATTATATGTTTGTTTGGCCTCCTTGAGACTAAAGTTAAGGCTAAAAGGTTTGGGAAGATCTTTGATAGTTTCAGTAGTACTTGGTCTGTTATTACCAATTACAGCAAGGTGGATGGAGGTAGGATCTGGGTTATATGGCAACCTTCTATGTATATGATCCAAGTGATGAGGATAGAATGTCAATATATTCATTTTTATGTGACTCATAAGGCTTCTAGTATCTCCTTTTGGTGCACTATGGTGTATGGGGTAAATGTGGCTGCTGGTAGAGAGAGGTTATGGAAACATATTAGGGAGATTAGTCACTCAATCTCTGGCCTTGGGTGGTTTGTGGAGATTTTAATAACATTCTGAATATGGAGGATAGATTGGGCTCTCCTTGTACTTTGAATGAAGTTGAAAATTTTAGAGAGGCCTAAGATACTGTGATTTGATGGATTTGAAGATTAAGGGTTCCTTTTTAACTTATACTAACAAGAAGCAGGGCATGGATAGAGTATGTACTAAGATAGACAGATTGTTAGTAAATGAGAGATGGCATAAATTTTTTGATAATGCTAGTGATATTTTCTTGCCTGAAGGGCTTATGGATCACTGTCCATGTATTGTGTCCTTATTTGGTGGTGCTGATGTGGTTAAAAGACCTTTTCGTTTCTTCAATATGTGGACTGAGTTTCCTGGTTATCATGATATCATCTCTCAAGCCTGGAACACAACTGTCCGGGGCACTGATATGTTTGTTCTGGTTAACAAGTTGCAAGCTGTTAAGATATGTCTAAAACAGTTGAATTTATCTCAGTTTTCTAATATTGAGACTGCTGATACAGTGGCTGCTGGTCAGGAAGAGTTTAATGGAGATCCAGGGAATGAGGACCTCATTAAGGCTGAGTATGAGGTTAGAACAAGATATGTTACTACTCATAAAGCAAAATTTCTATTCCTAAAACAGAAAGCTAAATTGCATTGGCTTCAAGATGGGGATGCAAACTCTGCTTATTTCCATGCTTGCTTGAGGAGTAGGAGAGTTCATAATAGGATCCCTAATATTTCGTTGCCTACTGGTGAGATCACTCAGGATCCTGCGCTGATTAGTGATGCATTCACTACTTTTTATGTTGAGCTCCTGGGAACTCATACTAGTCCTCAGATGAAGCTTCACCCTACTGTCATAATGGAGGGGGTTGTGCTCAATGAGGATCGAAGAGGGGCTCTTTGTAGGAATTTTAGGGAGGAGGATGTTAAGGGAGCTTTGTGGAGCATTGATGAAGACAAAGCCCTAGGGCCAGATGGGTTCTCTAGTAGATTTTTCAAGAATTCTTGGGATGTTGTGAAATCTCACCTGTGTAAAGCTGTGTTGGGTTTTTTTGAGCATGGCAGACTTCTCAAATAGGTTTGCACCACCACTCTCACTCTGATCCCAAAAATTGATAATGCAAGTTCTGTGACTCATTTTAGGCCTATTGCATGTTGTAATGTAACATATAAAATCATTTCTAAAATGATTTGTTCTAGATTGAAAGAAGTGTTGCTTGCTATAATTGATGAATGTCAGGGTGCCTTTGTGGCTGGTAGATCAATTATGGACAATATTTTGATCTTCCAGGACATGCTTAAAGACTATAATAACAAAAGGAAATCCCCTAAATGCACTATTAAAGTGGATCTTTGGAAAGATTATGATTCTGTGCATTGGGAGTTCATTAAAGATATGCTTGTTTCACTTGGTTTTCCTGATCAGTTTGTGCAGTGGGTTATGGAGTGTGTGTCTTCTCCTACTTATTCCCTATTTTTGAATGGAGGATTACATGGATTTTTTCAAGGAAAAAGGGGAGTGAGACAAGGAGATCCTATGTCTCCTTTATTGTTTGTGATTGTCATGGAGTATCTTACCAGGTTACTCAAAAAGGTTAGCAAGATGGGAGTTCAGTTGACTACTTATTCAGAGCCCTGAGTATGTTTGAGAAGGTGTCTGGTTTAAAAGCAAATTCTGAAAAAACAACAATCTATTTTGGGAATGTTGAAGAAAGAGTTAAGCACAACATCTTAAGTCTTACTGGTTTTGTAGAGGGTTCAACCCCTTTTAAGTATCTTGGTGTCCCTCTTAATTCAAGATACTTGAAGGTTTCTGACTTTGATGCTCTGATTGACAAGATGCTGCATAAATTGAAAGGCTGGTCTAGTAGGAATCTTTCATATATAGCAATAGTTGTTTTGATCAAATCAGTTTTAATTAGCTTACATTCTTATTGGGCTCAATCTGTCTTATTTCCCAAGTATGTGATTTAGAGAATCAATCAGTTGTGCAAGGCATTCTTATGGGGTGGATCTGCTATTCTTTTTAAAGCTCCTCCTTTGGCTTGGTCTTAGGTTTGTAAATCCAAGAAGGTTGGTGGTCTGGGTATGAGAGATTGTGAAAGCTGGAATAAGGCTGCCTGGGAAAATATGTGTGGCAAATAGCTAAGAAAAAGGACTCTCTTTGGGTTAAATGGGTTCATAATGTGTATGTTAAATCTGCTGACTGGTGGTCTTATGCTCCAAAAAAAGCTGATGGTTGGGCTTGGAAGAAAATTTGTAAAATAAAGGATGAGCTTAGGGAGGGTTGCTTGACTGAAAAGTGGGAAGAGAAGAATTACTCTATTGCTGCTGTGTATTCCTGGTTTCAGGGTGCTGGTGAGAAGGTGGGTTGGACAGATTGGGTTTGGAATAGGTATAATATTCCTAAAACAAGTTTCATAGCTTGGTTAGCAATGTTAAATAAGCTGAGAACCAGAGACAAGTTGTTCAAGCATGGAGTCTGTGATACTGACAAACGCCTGCTATGTGATACTGTCACTGAATGTCAACAACACCTGTTCTTTGCCTGTCCCTATAGCAGACGTTGTATACTGATTATTAGTAGGTGGCTTGGAATTCAGGAGGTTAACTTTAATATTGTGAACACTTGGAAGCACTGGAAAAAAAAAAAATTTAAAGACCCTATTCTAAGGAAAATTGGGTATGCTACTCTTGTAGCCTTGGTGTATTATTTGTGGTCTGCTAGGAATATGGTTTACTAGAATCATGATGTTCCAGTTCCTGAGAAACTCTGTTACAGGCTATGTTCAATGGTGGTAGATCGGGTTCAGCAGATTATAGGTGGAAAATGGAAAAGACATCACTGTCAATGGCTATAGACCTTAAGAAACAGTATACCAGCCTGAGTTGGTGATTTTTGTATTCTTTTATTGTTCTGTTCTGTTTTACTTGGGGTTGGGTTAGTTACTCTTTTGTTCTGGTCTTGTGATAAATACCCTTCCTAGAAGGTGCTTTATCACTTGAGGCTAGTATAGATTAGTGTGGGGGTTGTGTGGCCTTAAGAGTGTACAAGCTATTTCTTGTATTTGTTTTGAGGGCTTGCCCTCTTTCTTTGGTTAATAATACTTCTTATTTACCAAAAAAAAGAATCAAATGAAAGTCAAACACATTAAAAAAAAAGCTAATTGAAACAAATGAAAGTTAAACACATTCAAACATTGCTAATTAAATAAAATGAAAGTAAAAAACATTCAAATAAAGCTAATTGAACCAGATGAAAGTTAAAGGTATTCAAACAAAGCTTTTTAAATCAAATAAAATTCAAATGCATTTTCCAAAGCTAATTGAATCCAATGAAAGTAAAACACATTCAAATAAAGCTATTTGAATCAATGAAAGTCAAATGAATTATACAAAGCTAATTGAATCAAATGAAAGTCAATTACATTCAAACAAAACTAATTGAATAAAATGAAAGTCAAACACATTCAAACAAAGCTTTTTAAATCAAACGAAAGTCAAATGCATTCAACAAAACTTATTGAATAGATTGATAGTCAAACACATTCAAACAATGCTAATTGAATCAAATGAAAGTTAAACACATTCAAACAAAGCTTTATGAATCAAATGAAAGTCAAATGCATTCAATAAAGCTAATTGAATCAAATGAAAGTCAAACTAATTAAAACAAAGCTAATTGAATAAAATGAAAGTCAAACACATTCAAACAAAGATTTTTTGAATCAAATGAAAGTCAAATGCATTCAACAATGATAATAGTATCAAATGAAAGTAAAAAACATTCAATTAAAGCTATTTTAATCAAATGTAAGTCAAATGCATTCTACAAACCTAATTGAATCAAATGAAAGTTAAACACATTCAAATAAAGCTATTTGAATCAAATGAAAGTCAAATGCATTCAACAAAGCTAATTGAATCAAATGAAAGTAAATGAAATAAAATGAAAATTAGAGAGAGAAAGTGTCTAGAGAGAGAAAGCAAGAAACGCGTGTGTGTTTTGGGTAGGGGTATTTCCCGGCACTTTTCTTGAAGGTTCTACAATGGAGAAGGGGAGGAAGAAGACCAAGAAAGCTTCTAATTCTAAGTCCAAGAAGAAGAAAAAGTTCCCTCCTAGTGCGAAGAAGTTCACTAAGAAGGATGAGAGTGCGAGCGTAGGTTCGATACACTATTCCATTGAAAGCTGGCTGGAGAAGGCTTCGATTCAGGACATCCCTATCAAAGAGGTATCAAAGGAAGAGAAGGAGTTGCATCGTGAACAATTTAATCAATGGCTCAAGGTAATCCATTCTTCTTCGCCTCCATTGTTGTCTGAGGAAAAAACAGAGGATGTGATTGTTTGTAATTTGAACTCTGATGATAACATTCAGTCAAATGTGATTAATCCAACTCCAATCATGATGTTATGTAATGGTAATCTGGGTTCTAATTCGGCTAATGACACTAATTGCACCCCTAACCCTAAATACCCTGTTTTTGGAAATCCTGAGAAATTGGGATTAAATTGGAGGGCTCAGTTGGATTCTATTACTGATGAGGGGATGAATTTTAGTTGCCTTGAAGAATTTGCTAAGAAAAATGAGGATGATGGTGGGAGATCAGGTTTCTTGAAATTAACATTGGATGATGTGAGACCTGAAATTGATTACTGGAATAGTTCGATTGTTTGCTAAGTTTTGTGTGGCAAGCCTAATAATGTGGCTTTCTCAGCGTTTATTCATAGGGCATGGGGAAGATTTGGGGTAGATAAGATTTGCCCAATGAACAATGGTATTTTTGTAGTAAGATTTAAGGAGTGTGCAGGTCGAGAGAGGGCATTGAATGCTGGGCCAGTGTTCTTTGACAAGAAACCAATGATTTCCAAAAAATGGGTGCATGGATTGAATCTGAAAGATGAAAAGGTTGAGGTTGTCCCTGTTTGGGTCAGGCTCCCTGGGCTTGATCTTAGATTTTGGGGGCAATGCACTTTGATGAAGATTGGGAGTCTAGTTGGGAAGCCTCTCAAGATGGATAGAGCCACTGCTACGAAGGAACTCATTGCTTATGCAAGGCTGGTTGTTGAAGTGAAGATTGGGAATGAGCTCATTGAGAACATCGAGTTATGGATGAGAATGGTTGTTGGGTGAGTCAGGCTATTGTGTATGAATGGAAGCCAATAGTATGCTCAAAATGTGGAGGAATGGGACATGGGACAGATCTATTTCCTAACTTAAAGGTTCCTAAGAGAAGTAATCTGCCTGCACAGACTCAGAAATTATGGAGGCCTGTTAGAAATGATAATAAGGTTCAGAATCAGGAAGTTGCTGATAACAACAAGGTGAAGGGGAATGAAGGGCGGTTTTCAATCCTGAGTAGGATGCGTGATAAGGAGGATGGTGAATTCTTCAGACCTGATGTGGAACTGAATGCTCAGGTGAGGCCTTCTAAAGAAGAATGAAAGATTGTTGGTAATGGGAGAGTTTTGTTTGGAAGTAAGGGGGGTGGAGTTCATACCAGCCCTTATCATGAATAGTTTGGGTTTTTGGAATGTAAGAGGCTTCAACAAAATTGATAGAATCTGTGATGTTTTATGGTTCTTAAAACATCATAATATCAGTTTGTTTGGGCTTCTTGAAACTAAGGTTAAGGCAGTGAAGTTTGGTTCTGTTTTTGCTAATTTTGGGGGTGATTGGGCTGTTAGTGCCAATTATTCGAAGCACCCTAATGGTAGAATTTGGGTCATTTGGAAGCCGGATTTGTTCTATGTGGATATTGTTGAGATTGATGCTCAGTTTATTCACCTAAAAGCTCATCATAAAGGTACAGGGATTATGTTTGGGTACACAGTTGTGTATGGGTTTAATAACCCAGGTTTGAGAGAGCACTTGGGAGATATAATTAGTCATATCAATAGTTGTGTGACTGGTCCTTGGATTGTAGGAGGGGATTTCAGCAATGTTCTGAACATTGAGGATAGAGTTGGGTCTGCTGTATCTTTGTCTGAGGTTGAGAAGTTCAGACTGTGTGTCAAGACTAGCAGTCTGTTAGAGCTGAAGTCTGGTGGGATGTTTTACACCTGTAACAATAAACATGAGGGAGCTGATAGAGTTTGTTCCAAGATTGATAGAGGTTTTGGTAATGGTGGATGGTGCTCTGCCTTTCAGCATGCTCATGTTGTATTTCTGTCTGAAGGATTAATGGACCATTGCCCTTGTGTGGTGACGTTTCTTGAAAATGTAGGGGGAGGTAAAAAATCGTTCAAATTTTTTAATCATTGGGCTGAATGTGCAGGCTTTACCAGGGTGGTTGCTAAGGCTTTGCAGTATCAAGGTCAAGGCACTACTATGTTCAAGCTAATCCAGAATTTGAAGAGAGTTAAGGTTAGGCTTAAAGATCTTAACTCCCAACTGAGATTCTGTCCAGGGCTCAATGTGACTTAAACAATAATCCTAGAGATGAGAGTCTCATTTCTAGGGAAGGGGAGGCTAGGAAGAGATTCAGTGAAACTCACAAAACTAAGCTTAAGTTCCTCAAACAGAAAGCCAAAGCTAATTGGGCTAGAGAAGGTGACATGAATACAGCTTTCTTCCATGCTTGTATTAGAAAGAGAAGGATGCAAAACAATGTGTTTAGCCTTCAAAAAGAGGATGGTGAGGTTACTAATGACCCTAAGGGGATTGCTGATACGTTCATTGACTTTTACAAAGGCATGCTAGGTTCTCATTCAGATGCTGAAAGGAAGCTACATCAGAGTGTCATTGCTGAGGGGCCTGTGTTGAGTGCTGATCAGGTAGTTAGTTATGTAGAGAGTTCAGTGTTGAGGATGTGAAAGGGGCATTATGTTGAGGATGTGAAAGGTCCAAATGGGTTTTCTAGTGGCTTCTTTAAGGCTGCTTGGAATATTGTTGGAGAAGATTTGTGTAATGCAGTGCTTGATTTCTTTAGGCATGGCAGACTACTTAAACAGGTGAATAATACACTCCTTACCCTTGTTCCTAAAGTTGATAATGCCACTCAAGTAGGCCAGTTTAGACCAATTGCTTGTTGTAATGTCATCTACAAGATAATTTCTAAGATGCTTTGTGTTAGATTGAAAGAGGTTCTACCAGGTTTGATAGATGAGGTTCAAGGGGCTTTTATAGCTGGTAGGTCTATTTTGGGCAATAACTTGGTTTGCCAAGACATGCTCAAGGACTAAAATAACAAGAGGAAGGCTCCCAGATGCACAATCAAAGTTGATCTTAGGAAGGCCTATGATTCTTTCCATTGGTCCTTTATAAAGGATATGTTGATTGCTTTAGGGTTTCATATTCAGTTTGTTGATTGGGTCATGCAATGTGTGTGCTCTCCTTCCTTTTCTGTGATGATTAATGGTGGCATTCATGGGTTTTTCAAGGGTAGGAGAGGAATAAGACAGGGGGATCCTATGTCTCCTTTATTATTTGTGGTGGTCATCGAGTACTTTACCAGATTGTTGAGAAAGATTGGCAAACTTAATAGGTTTAAATATCATTCTAGATGCAAGGGTATGAGGCTTAATCACCTTATTTTTGCTGATGACTTGATGCTCTTCAGTTATGGTGATAAGGTGTCTATTGAGCTGCTGGTCAGAGGTCTTAAGACCTTTGAGAAATGTTTTGGTTTAAAAGCTAATGCTGAAAAAACTGCTCTCTACTTTGGCAATGTTCCTGTCACAGCTAGATCCCATATCATTCAAGTCACTGGTTTTACGTATCTTGGGCTTCCTTTAAATGCCTTTTAAGTATCTTGGGCTTGCTTTAAATGCTAGATACTTGAGAATTGTTCAGTTTGATAGCATTATAGATAAAATGCTTAATAAGATTACCTGCTGGTCTAGTAGGAATTTATCATATTCTGCTAGGGTGATCCTTATCAATTCTCTCCTTATGA